CATGCAGGCACTCCCAGCATTCCCTGGCTTTCTCATCTGCCCCATCAAAGTATTTTCTACCACTTTTCTGTGCCTAGCAGTACATGCGATTGTACTTTGAACACTTTCCTACAAAGAGAGAGCCTACAAGGCCCAATGACCAGATCAAGCAGTGCTGCTTTGCAGAAAAAGTGACCCCTAAAGTAGATTCCTGATAAAAAGCAACAGGTGGGCTTGGAATGGAGTATCTGGGCTTTCGTTGCTGAACATGGTAAGTACTATAGGACTGACGCTGCTAGTCCTCTATTTACCAAACATCCTATACATAATAATGGGGAAATCAGGGGTAGATTGAAGGCAATTAATTACTAATGGTTGTTGGTATGAAATCTAAACCAGGAGGCCTGGAGCCCTGCTCCCCTGTTAGAAACAGCAAGACAGAAGAGGGCGAGAAGGCCTGTTGCTATAATACCGGAGTTACAGCAAGACAGAAATAGTGCTCTCAGGGTAAGGAGTCCTGGGATGCAACCAAAGAGATATACTGGAGGAGACTTGAATACATGAGGAGAAGGGGTGGCTGGAAAGAGTCAGAGGAAAAGAGCCTTGGGACCTTAAAGCAGTGGGTTAGACACTGCACCAAGAGTCCCAGACTTTGCCCCCAGGTTTAAGAGCACTTACAATACAAGGAAGCCCAGGCGTCTGAAAGACTGACTGAAAGAACACTGAGTTGAGAAACCCTGGGACCCTATGCCCCTCCTAGGGGAAAAGCACATGCATGCACAAGTGCTCAGTGCAAAGAGCCCCAGGACCCTGGCCCTTCAGGTCAGAGTGAGATCTACGGGAATCGGAAACGCTTACATGGCATGTGGTCCAGCAGAAGCACATCCTTCTCTCCCAAGAGGGTGTTTCAGGGAAAGTGCGTATCCACGGAGACAGACATCACGAGTGAAGGAAGAAACAGCAAACTCTTCACACAGCCATTGAAAATCCCAGTCAGGAGAGGAAAGGACGGCTTGCTGACTGTCCGTCAACGAAGCCAAGCATCATCTTCAGAGCACTTCCCTCCCTCCAAGACAGCAACCTCATTTATCCAACTGGGACTGCTCAGAGCGAATGAGCCGGGGTCGTGACTTCCCCCACTCTGCACCCCCCCCCTTCGTCACACTCTAGAAGGAAGTGACATCATCCCTGTTCTGACTGAGGAGATTGTGTGAATTGTGGGAAAAAGGATTGAAAGCAAGAGCATGAGATGCTGTCAGAGTCCTGGGGAGAGAAACACAGAGAGAGATGGAGAGAGGACGGAGCTCTGAGCCAGCAAGTGCAGCAGCACGGAAACCTCCTCCCCTTTGCCAGAGGAAAACAGGAAAGACTGAGCTTGCTGCAGCAATTCTTTGGGGATGTCCTGGAGCGTGGCTGCATGCAGGAACTCCTCTTCCCCAGCAGTGGATAGCAGTAGAGGCAGCGCTGCTGGAGCAAAGATCCGAAAGGCTCTGGGACAGTACCCGCTGGCATTTGCTGAATGCAGAGGGGAGGCGGGGAATTGGATGGGGCATGAAAAGGGCAGTCAGGAAGGGCCACCCTCCTGTCCAGAGAAAGGAGGGACTGTTCAAAAGGAACAGCCTCTCGCAGGCCTTTTCAGCCATTAATTCCCTGTGACATGCTCCCTAGGGTATAGCAGGGCATGGGGGAGGGGTAGAGAAAGCTGTCTGTTTGGTGAAGGCTTGGAGAAAAGAGCAAGAGAGAAAGAGACATGCTACAACAAGACAAGATTCCAGCTAAACCTAGATTTAGTTTAATCCAACATCCTCTGGGTCTGACATTAACCACATTTACAAGATATACAAGTAAATAGATGAACTGAACACAGTCGCAACCAAAGGAAATAGGTTTACACATATCACCCCAATAGACATGAGACACCACCTGCATCCACACAGCCACTGACAAACCAACCCACAATCACACACTCCTTGCTAGCCAAACCCACAGAAGAATGAGCTAGCATGCTCACACAGTCACATTCAGACTAGAGATGTTAAATATCGATTAACTGAATCGTCAGTGAACCTCATGAATTCTTATCAGTTATTCAACTATTCTAAGTCCCCGGGGGCAAGGCTGGCAGCCAACAGGCTCCGGCCCGACTCCGGAGAACCCCCTTCCACTCCGTGCTGCTGCCTCTGTGGGGTGCCAGGCTCCCCTCACGGACTGGCTGCCTGTCGCCCCACGCTGCTGTCGCTGATACAGAGGCAGAGAGCAAGGTGGCAGCAGCCCCTGAGCTCCCGGACCTGGCATGAGCCAGGCTGCCTGCCCACTTGGCTCCTAATACACTTCAAATGCAGAGCCGCAGCAGGGGCAAGTCCTGGACCCCAGCGCAAGCTGGGACTGAACTGGGCTCCTGGCCAGCCTGCTAAAAATTTACTGGCTAGGGTGGAGAGGAATGCATGTAGTCTATAGCATTAACTGATAAGCATTTGCTTATCAGTTAATCAACTATGCTATTACATCCCTAATTCAGACACCCAAGGCACAACATGTGTACCCATACAGACTCTGATATGCCACCCTACAGTAATTCCTCATATGAAACTCACCTCACCAATCCACACAGGCAATGGGTTCACTCTCACTGTATACTACCTACAAAATCCTGAAACTGCCTACATGCTATCAGCTCTCCACTCAACCCCCCGTGTTATCTGCCATCTCCTGGGAAACAGAAGCAGGAGGCCCTCAAGTGACCAAATTCTGAGTGTCCTGTAGCACCAATGGTTTAAGGCTCCAACAGGCGTGCTAGACAGAGAGTCTTGCTAGGAAACATCTATAGAGAGGCCCTGAGATTTAGTGGATCTGCTGTCCTCATGCACTCGCCATCTCCACGCATGCATGAGTTAGCATGCTGACTGTGACATGACACAGGCACAGAAAACCATCCCTTACCAACCTCATCCATGTAACATGCTTGTAACCCTGCTGCTGTCAACCCATCTCTCCAGGCCCTGCCTCAACTCCAGGAGGGGCTCACAGAGCCTAATGGAAGACCCGAAAGAGAGAACAGTTGTGTTCTGAAACTCTTAGCCAGGTTTTCATCTCCTCTGCCTGTGACTACAGAAATCCCTTTCCTTATGATACCAGCTCCAGACACTCTGGCAGGTGTAAAATACTGCTGCCATCTTCTCACATGTTCTCCCAGACAAATGACCATACACACCCAAAACACTTCACCTTCCCACTCATTTCAAGTTTAGGTTCAAAACTGTCCTCAGTGTTCTTAAAACCATCCCAGGACATGCTGTAAGTGACCTCAAAGACTTGTCTCTGCCTCCTCTCTTCATCTAGCCCTAGCCTCTTCTCTGTCCTGCCATGCAGTCTGACCACTGTAGGGGCACATCTAGACTACATGCTTCTGTCGACAAAGAGTGTCTAGACTACATCCAGTTCTGTTGACAAAGCAAGCCGCTTTGTCGACATGAGAGTGTAAACGCAAAGGACAGTGTAGATGCAATAACGCCTTCTGTCGACAGAACTCTGTCGACAAAAGGCGTTATTCCTCATAGAATGAGGTTTACAGCTGTCGACAAAACTGCTGAGTTCTGGCGATGTTATGTCAGCAGATAGTGTAGATGCAGGTATAGTTTTGTCGACAAAAGTCCACTTTTGTCAACAAAACCCTGTAGTCTAGACAAACCCTAGGTGTAAGAAACTCCTCTGTGGCATCATCTATGTCTTCGCCTCTCAGATGGAATCATATTGTCTCTTGCCTGTACACTTGTGTCCCTTTCGAAATTATTTAACTCTGTTAAATCTGCTGAGATAATTTGTATATTTCATACATTTACCACCAAAGTTGTTTTGTATCAAAGAAAATAATTAAAAGTGTACCAGCAGTTGGACCAAGCAAGACTATCTCTGGTGCTCACATACTCTCCCAGACAAATGGCCATACACACCCCAAAACACTTCACCAGAAGTGTAGAGTCCTGCACAGATACAAAATTGTTATCTGCATTCACATCCATAGATGCAGATACCTGCGGATATAAAGTCCATATCCATGGATATGTAGGGCTCTACCAAGGAGCACTTCACCATACTCTTGCTATACCCTAAGCATCCACTGGATTACAGTCTCCTACCCCATATCCCAACAAGCCACAGCACCACTGGACAAGTTTCCAACTCCACCAGACAATGTTCTCCTGGGAGCTGCACTCTCCCTGACCATTCAAGTGTGCCCGTAACTCACAGGCTATCTCACCATGAGTGCCACACAAAGAGTCCCTCCCTGTCCCTGCGAGTACACCAGACTGCACGCACGTACTTGTACTCGACTTCAGCGGAAATCAGCAATTAGAACTTGTACAAAACATGATCAGTCTTCCATCAGTTATTTTTAAAGCCCCTAAATGGAGCGCTTTCTGCTTCAGAGTCCGGATCCTCACAATCTGGGAACTGTTCTTCCATCGGAAGGGATGTGATTTCATCTTTAGGAAATGTCTTAAGGTTGTTGGGGAGGTACTTTCTTGCCTATGGCTGCACACTTACAAAGAAACATCTCTTCCTACTGAATCTTATGTGAGGTTCACAGTGTGTACTCTGAAGGCATGACAGTGTGGAGTGAACAGAAAGGCTGCATTCCTAGATCACTCCCCTGCACAATCTGCCCATGACAAATGTAAGCATTATTAGTACCTCCAAGCTAAGATCTCTATAAGCTGCATGGTCATGCAGCAACCTATTAGGCACCACGCAGATATTCATGGAGCCTAGTCCCAGCAGACCCGCTGCAGCAAGGGGAGAGGTGCCCATCCTCCAGCCCAAACCTAGCCTGCAGTGGCCCGGAAAGAGGTGCCCCTCCTCCCCAATCCCAATCTAGCCTGCTTCTGCCCAACTTGCCATGGCCAGGCACCATTTCCCCAGCCGCAACCAAGCCTGGCCCCCAACTTGTTGCAGCCACAGGGCAGGTACCTATCCCATGGCCCAGCCCTAGAGCTGCCAGAGCAGGGAGAGGAGGAGTCCTCCCACAGTCCAGGTACTGCTGTGGGAAGAGAGAATGGGGAGAGGGGGAGGGAGTCCTCTCTCCCTGCCATAGCCCCAGAACAGCTTGCCCCCCAAATCCTTCATCCTTGGTCCCACTCTAGAGCCTGCACCCCCAGCCAGAGCCCTCACACTCCTGCACACAAACCCTCTGCCTCAGCCCTGATCCTTCTCCCACACTCTGACCCTTTCAGCACATGAGTTTGTTATATCCACCAATATGGAGGTGATGTGTCACACTTCCATATTGGTGCACATAATAAAATTCATTTCACACGTGTGGGGAAAATTAGAGGGAACACTGTCTTCAAGTGGAGTTGATGAAGGATGAACCCCAGAATAATGGGAAAGTGAATTCCCCTCTCATCCTAGAAGCAGAATGTGTCCGTGTAAAGGAGTCTATCGGAGCGCCCACTGGCACCCCATACTCTCCGCTTGAGTCTTTGTGCTCCCCTCACCCAGAGGTTCACCGTCTGGCATCCCCAGTCAACTATCTTCTTGGCCCAGGGGGCCCCTTTAACACCAGGGGTCTCCGAGCTTCCCGCAGCAGGGAGAGGGGGGTCCGGGCCCGCCCCCTCTCACGGACCCCAGCCCAGGGCCCTAAGGACTCGGTACGCTTACGGCGTCCGGTCCAGCTGGCGGGGCGTCTGCTGTAACGCGCCAGCCCTCAGGCTCCCTTCGCCTGCCCTGGGCTGCTTCCTCTCCCTGTTGCGCTGTCTCGCCGATGCGGGGGCTTACCTCCGCAGTTTGGGTCCACACCTCTCTCTTGGGCAGTCATGTCCGGCCTTTTAAATCCCCGCGCCGCTTGTGGGCGGGGGGTGGGGGCTCCGCCCCCTGTACGCGGCTCTACTTCCGGCGGGGCGGCGCACCCGCCATCTGGTGGCGCCCCCCGCGTGAGCTCAGGCGTGGGCTCGGCAG